GATCCAGTTGAGATAGTGTATTGGATTTTCGGAAAGCCTTTCACAAAGTTCAATACCATCAGTCATGAGATTAGAGGGAAGATCCTCTCATGGACCAGTAACTGGTTAAAAGATAGGCAACAAAAGTTAAGAATAAATGGTCATTTTTCACATTGGAGAGATGAATAGAGGGGTCCCACAAGGATCTGTACCTGGGACCTGTGCTGTTCAACATATTCATAAATAATCTGGAAAAGGGGGTAAACAGTGAGGTGGCAAAGTCTGCAGACAAGACGGAATTACTTAAAATAGTGTAAGTCCAAAGCTGACTGCGAAGAGTTACAAAGGGATCTCACAAAACTGGGTGACTGGGCAAGAAAATGGCAGACGAAATTCAATGTTGATAAATGCAAAGTAATGCACATTGGAGAAAATAATCCCAACTGTACATAAAAAAAATCAGGGTTCCAAATTAGCTGTTACCATTCAGAACAAGATCTTGGAGTCGCCATGGATAGTTCTCTGAAAACATCTGTTCAATGTGCAGCAGCAGTCAAAAAAGCAAACGGAATGCTAGGAACCATTAGGAAAGTGATAGATAGTAAGACAGAAAACATTATAATGCCACTATATAAATCCATTGTACACCACACCTTGAATACTGTGTGCAGTTCTGGTCACCCCATTTAAAAGAAGATAGAGAGAATTGGAAAAGGTACAGAGAAGGGCAACAAAATTGAGAAGGGGGATGGAACAGCTTCCACATGAGAAGAGAATAAAAGGACTGGGACTGCTCATCTTAGAAAAGAGACGACTAAGAGGGGATAAAATAGCAGTTAATAAAATCATGACTGGTGGAGAAAGTGAATAAGGAAGTGTTATTTACCCCTTCACATAACACAGGAACCAGGGGTCACCCAATGAAATTAACATAAGGAGGTACTTCTTCCCACAAGTCACCATCAATCTGTGGAATTTGTTGCCAGGGGATGTTGTGAAGGCCAAAAGAATAGTTAGGTTCAAAAAAGAATTAGATAAGTTCATGAAGTTCAATGGCTATTAGCCAAGATATTCAGGGATTGCATGCTCTGGGTGTTCCTAAACCTCTGACTGCTAGAATCTGGGACTGAATGAAACTGGATGGATCATTTGATAATTGCCCTGTTTTGTTCATTCCTGTCAGAAGACAGGATTCTTGGCTAGCTGGACCATTAGTCTGATCTAGTATAACAGTTCTTATATGGAAGTCTACTGTACTGTACGACTGCATGATTGGAAAAAGAAATATGTTGAATGTTGAAACCAATCATATAACATAAAATTATCATGCTTAGTCCATTAATACAATGCTATTGTTAGAACAGAGTCACCTGATATGGTTTAATACTATCAGTGTCAGATGCTACATGCAAGAGAACACATTTAATCAAAAAATTATGTTTTAAATAATGAATTAATCATTCACTTGGCTTTCAATTCCTTTTGAACAAAAGTGTTTCATGAAACAACTTTAGCTTCTATATAATTTCAATTAATACAAGCTTTTAAACAATTAGAATAATTGTAGGGTTAGCAATGGAAATATAAACATTTCCTTTTGCACATTATTTCTAGAAAGTCTTTATGTGAATGAATAAAATCAAGTTTGCCTCTAAATGCTTTCTTTAAGGACATTTCAGAATAACACCATTGTTAAGAAAGTTTGAGGAGGCTCATATTAATGTTTGAATTGCACTATTTTGATTATTTTTAAGTTGATCAAGTGTGAACCCACCAGGCCTTTAAGGCAGGGTTTTTAGTTATTGGACACCTGTTTTATTTTGGCATAGAAGGACACTACCTTCTAGGAATACCATTTTTTCTTCTTGGTTAATTATTAAATTATTACATTTGGAATAAAACACAGTTCACTATTGTTTCAGCGCTTCTGTTCTTTCAAAACAATGTACTGAATATTTCATAGAAAGCAAAAAATTAGATGTATGGTAAGAGAAATCAGATGTACGATCAAATATATTGCTGAACAATTAAGGTACATTTTAATTACACATAATTGAGTACAAAGCTCTACTGGCAAGGTTACTGGCAACAAAATCAAAGAATTTGTGGGGATATTTTGGCACTATGGTGCAATATGGTATATTTATGCTCTGTCTAACCAGTACTCTGTTAGAAGTATGTAATCTTAGCTATCTTTTCTTTTTGGTTATATTTTAACTGGATTAGCCATACTATACTAAAGGGATACTTGGGTTTATGGCACCATTTTTATTTTCAGAATATGGTGAAATCTGCCACTCTTACTACAGCTATGGAACATCACATGTAGGGCTCTGTAGTGCTCCTTTGACAAAATTCTGGAGACACTTGTAACAGGCATTTTGGTTTACTTGAGTAGCAAATATAAAGCTACTTTGGTTTAAAGTTTGCCTTTCCAAGTTCAGAAGAATAAATATTAGTACTTTTTCCAGTGGACAAGAATAGATAAGGCCTATTTTTTTCCACGCTATGAATTTGGAGTACTATACTATTTTAATTATTTAACTGTATACTAACAAGAAAAAATGAGGTAAGCATGCTTGTGGTGGTTTATATGGACTCTTGATTTCACAGCATCTCCTTTTACTCGTCTACTTCACCCTGGCACGTGAGTATTTTAGGGATTAAGAGCCTAACTCCTACTAATAATCAAGTAATTATTATATGCATATATAATTACCCACACATCTTGCTAAAGTTTATTCAATTGTGACAAAAACATCAGAGTTGAAAAGACCTTTCCAGTTATTATGCTTCTGTTACAAGATCAAATTTTAAGGTTTATACAACCCAGGTCAAAATCACTACTCATTTGATAAAAGGAAGGCATTCATTCCCCAAAGGCCCATGTTGGGCACTTAAAAAAAAGGAAAAAAGAAAAAAAAGGCTAACTGTACATGTGCAAAACCCAGGAAGACTGTGAAATAGAAGTAGACAAACTACTGGTTAATTTTCAGATTAAGATTTGCTCTTTTGATCTTAAAAAGTATACTAATTACAGAAATTATCAACTTGTCTTTTTAAACAGCTGTTTCAAGTTAATACTACAGCAGGTATCAGTGCCTTATATGTTCTCTGAGAATCCAAGTATTAATTGAAGAAATTCAAAATAAAAATCCAGTCTTTTCTCTAGATCTACCAGACCAAAAAGGAAAAGCTTTATATAGCAAAATATGATTACTCACTTTTAACATTACATGTACATTAACGTATAAGGCAAAGCTGTACAGCACTGCTGGAAGATACTGGAGTTATGTACTGGAAATAACTTATTGCATTTTGGGAAGTACATTATATGCTTGACACAATAAAGAGGAGCATGACTAGTGGCAGAAACACATTAACCTCCTGGAACACAAGTAGGCTAAAAATAATAAAATATTTTAAGGAATCAAATGTATACCACAAGGGAGTCTCTCAATCTTCTCATACTGTTCTCTTATACTCTTCTCCACTTCTTTTCTGGCTCCTGTCACACTATCACTTGCCAGTAAGATTAACTGTAAGCAGCACTTCTTCTCAAGGACCTGGAGGGCGAGGGTGGGGGAGGAGGCAGTGCTACTTCTGAAAGTGCTGAGTGGATGCAAAGGGGACTAAAGACATAATAAAAGGAAACCTCCTGACAGTGAATCAGATGGGAGATACGGCTCTTTTAGTGCTTTGAGCCTTCTGCAGTTGCCAAATTTCCAGTAATGCAGCAGCAACAATTTTTAACACTAACAGTCCTGTATTATAAGGATAATAATAATAGATAATTTGCACATATATAGCACTTTTTCATGTGTTTTTTCCAAAGTGCTTTACAAAGGTAATAAGCACAAGCAGCCCCATTTTATATATGGGGTAACTGAGGCACAAAGAGGTTAAATGACTTGCCACAGTCAAAGCAAAATAGTATCAGAATCTGGGCTAGAAACACTCTCTTGAATTCTAATCCATGCCTAATCCACCAGATAATAGTGGTTCAGTATACGATAAGCACCAATTCAAGCTACATCTTGAATAGCATATTTGAAAGAATATGAAAAACTACTCACCCTTCAACCGATACATATTAGCTAGGCTGCCATATAACCCCATTTGTTCTGAATAGCATGAACGTCTTGACTAAAGAAAAGTACCAAAAAACTCACTCCCTCCCTCCAACTACGACTAATGATGTAATCTCCAAGAAGGGACCAATCTGTACAACAGAAGGGTGAGTGATCTAGAATGAACTACACCTGCTTTCAAACCATCTTCTTCTGAAAAAAAGTCTCTTGGATGTCAAATATTGCAGCATATCCAGGTGTAGAAGTTTCTATAAAATAATCTGTTGTCAAATACAAATGATAGCATTCATAAGACAAATTATAGTTCTAAAATGTGTATGTATATAGGTGTATGTATATATATGTGTATATATATAAAAAGAGAAAATTAGATTTTTTTTTCTTTTTTTTTTACACACATATAAACATCTGGCTTATATGTCCAATATAAATTTTAGACAACTTTCCTTATTTAGAACGAATCTTTAAATAACAGAATTATATACAATCCCATAGAACTTTTTTTTTTAAAATTAACACACTATTCACAAATGCAGAATTATCTAGGACAATCAAAAAGTGTATTCAGAATAAATTAATGTCATACAATTGTGGTTATATTGTTCAGAAAGTCCAATTCTTCCCTTTGAAATGAAACTGAGACCATTGTACCTTAGGGTGAATTATTTAGCAATGCACAAATTCTCTCTCTTTACGTAGAAGTCTTCATATGAACTTAATTGCATTTATACAAAGGAAAGAAATATGAAAGAGGCACCTCACACTATTGCATTCCACTGAATTAGAATAAAATTTCTATTGAATGGCAATGAAGTCAATGTTTTATCATCTGAACACTAGTAGCCTCTGTGTCCTTGCAAGTTTTACACCTTGAGTTAGCAGCAACATGTTTAATAGGTTCAGTAGTACATTTTTTCTGATACTGGATTGGGCCAGTTTGCATTTATAGTAAGCCAAAGCATTTAGCAGTTGGTGTGCAATATTAATCCACTCCTGCATGTGAGAACTAATAAATACACTGGGAAACAAAGACAAATGAGACTTAAACCTTTAGTTTAAATGTTTTCAGTCTATAAAGAGAAAAACCACAAGAAAACACAGTGAAATTAAGTATAAACAGGAAGTACCATATCAGGGTGCAAAGGAGCAGAGCGGAAGAGGCTACAGGAAATAGGTAAACTATTGAAAGGTCAAGAAAACGGGAAATTCAAGCTGTGTAAGATCTCAATAAAACCTGCAAAGCAACATTAGTTTACGTGTCAGGTATGCTATATTTGATTTATTAAAAGTTTATTAGTATAACCGGCATATTTGCAATCAGATTGATGGGAGTTAATTCTTTAATTGCTCTGGCTCTTAATGGACATGTTTGGGATTTAGCCCTTGGCGTTCTATTTATGTAAAATGTTTGACAAACCTCTATGAACCAAATAATATGACCAACTCTACTTTGTATATCAATATTTTGGTCCCAGTTTTGCAAGGTGTTGAGCATTCTACTCCCATGGAGTTCAATAGGAGATGAAGACACTCAATGCCTCATTAACTGGGGCACTTTTTTTTTTTTTTATTAATACTGCTGGTTTTCCTTTTGTATTTTAGAATGGTAAACACCAGAGTTAAAATAAATTCTAGAGGAAAACTTGTTTTTACAGCAGTAAAAGATGCAGGTTATGTACTAAAGTTTCCTTGATTATTTCTTTTCAGTATGTATATAATGCACATTATGCACAACTACTCTCATATACATATATACATGTCTCCTATATACTGTGCATGATTTAGTAATCCTCTACGGCAATTTAAAGTGCCACAGCTCACATGTGCTCATCTGACTTCCCATGCGCTTTTGATGAATTCTCTAGTCACTTACAGAAATGAGACCCTTGCTTTATGACAACCGGTGTTTTTAGAAGATGAAATTGATCCTTTCACAGGTGTATTAACTGGAATCCAGTGGTCGAACTAATCCTTCCTTGTAAACACGAAGAATAGCTTCACACACGAACTTGTACTGACTCTGTATAATTAAAGAAAGAATGAGCAAAAATATTAATGGTCAGTCACATCAGTTATAAGCTATTGATTATAGTGTAGTAATGAATACTAACTAAACATTGTAAACTATCTTCAGCTTTACTGCCACCTGTGGCATTGAAACATGGGCAGGAGAAGAGGACAGATACAAAGACAGATAGAAAAAATAAAAAATATTACAGTCCCCCTCAGTGGAGATATGTGCAGAATTTACATTCCCGTAAATGCCAAACGTTGTATAGTGCGAATTTTTACCTCAGATGCAAGCATGAGTCTCCTGGTAACTTTAATGGGTACAATGTCCAAACATCCAAGAGGCAAGATTTAGCCAGAAGGAAAGTCTAAATGTATGCATCTGATTCCTTAGCACACACAGATATTTAAATGGAAGCTAATTTGTTTGAAATACTTTCTTTCATATATTTTATCTATGCTGTAATTTGTACTGATATTAATTGATCATTTAAATGATAGCAATTTATCCATTCATTTAATATACATTACTTGAGTCCTCAAAGCATGCAAACTAAAATAAGGGAAATGCATTAAACAGTTTCTTAATTTAACAAATGGAAGGTGGCGAAGTACTTCATGTCTTTCATTTAAAATGCTTAAACAAACGGTTTTATCTTCCAAACTATGTCAATACTGCTGCACAAGTTGAAATTGATTTAGTTCAGTTTTGCGCAGACAGGGTACAAACTTTTGAGAGAGAACTCTGAACTATGACAGCCACCCTCCTTTTACCTCATCACCCCCAACATTTTGAATCCTATAGCACTTTGGAATGTTTTTATAGTGAAGTACTTTACAAATGATATTAGAGTCTTTTTCCTGTTAAAGAGCATCTAAGAAATAGACCATTAAACAAATTTCTATTTTTTCCATAATCATCTTCTCTGTACCAGACATTCATTAAAAATACTTGAGTCCCTTTCTGAACTGGGAATATCATGTCCTCTTGTTGACAAATTGGAGCCATATAAGTTCCAAAACATACTTAACCTGAAGCAAATATTGATGGCTAATGTAAAAGCCTGAGAATATGGGATCTCAATAAAAATTCAAGAGAGCTTTATAGTAGCACTAGAAAGTGAGACTAAGTTACACATATTTTTGCTTTCTCAGAAGGGGCTTCAAGTATCCAAAATATAAACTCTCCCCAGCAACTCAAGTGTGATATGCCTAGAGGATTTTAGGTCCCAGAAGTGCGAGTATGTATTAACTCCTTCATTTTGAGCCACACCTTTTTTTAGCCCGCCGCCCTACATTCTCATGTTGATTGCAATGGGGTGTTTGGCAGTAGCTTATATTAATCCCTCCCTCCAAAAAACTTTAAGGTTTAGCATTGCTCCTAGACCCATCCAGCCTGAGGAGGAGTGAAGGTCCTGCAGTTGTATTTAGGCCTCAGTTTTCAATATGTTATCATTGTTCATTACCTGATGAGTAACTATTTTCCTGTGCTTTACAAAATTGGCTAAAATTTACAGGAACTCTGGGGGATGTAAGTTGGCATTTTCATGTCATCCCCCCTCCCCCAACTCTCTGTCAACTACTCCCACCTCAAATATCGATTTGCTCTTATGACTGTGATGTTTGTTGTTCTGTTTACACTGGTTAATTACTTTGACTTTTCCTTCATTGCGAGTCATTTCCATATTTCACTGCTGCCTGCACAAGTCAACTGTGATATTTAACTCCCTGCTTTATTACTTCTGTTAACTCCATTGTGTAAGCAACTTATTTAGAAATAAGATTGGATGTTTCATCATTGATTCCCATGATGCAGACAGTGACTACTTATTTTCCTTGCCATTGGTTGCGTTCTGATTACTCACTCAACTGTGTTCTCCTGCCCTCCATTGAAACACTCCCAAGGTTAGCTTTTTTAAAAAATTGTGACTTTAGGCATAGCAGTCATTGTCAAACCTGATTGTAAGACTTCATCTTCTTTAATGGATTGCTACCCCTTCTACGCTCATCACCAGGCAACCTCACGGGTTTAATAGGTTGAGTCAGCATAACAACTTTTTCTTCTTCGGGGGTCATATAGTAGAGGAGGACTAAAGGAAATCCACTGGCCTGCCACCCATTTAACAATTCCCTGTTATGAAGCAGCCTAGCAATCCTTCTTGCTGAATCTCTCCCTAAAGTCTTAAAGTAATCAATTAAATAATCATTATCTCAAGAAAGTTACTCATTTCTGAAAATTTTCACCTATACCCTCCCTCTTTTTGTGACCAGTCTGCTGTAGCCAAACTGTAATTCTCTTTTGCCTCACTATCTACTTGAACATATCTGCTTTGAACACAGAGTGCTATATAAATTCAAAGTGCTTTGAAAATATTCTGATGTGGGGCTCCCTCAGGCTCTCCTCTTGAAGCTATTCCACTGTGGATACAGTTAAAAAAGTCATTGGAGCAGGGAGACTGGATCTTGAGTCTCCCAAACTCCAAGGTGAGTACTCTAACCACCAGACTGCAGAGTCATTCTCGTGCTTCTTCTCTCTCCCAGCGCAATGACTTTTTAACTTATCACAGTAGAACAGCTTCAACCAGAGAGATTGAAGAAGAAACAATAAAATATCCCAAAGCCCAGTGGTTAGAGTATTCACCTGGGAGGTGGCAGATACCAGTTCAAATCCCTTTCTCCCTCAGGTAGAGGGGGACTTGAACCAGGGTCTCCCACATCCTGAGTACTTTAGCCACTGGGCTAAAAGTTACAACAGAGATCCTCCTCCTCCTCTCCCTGCAACTGTTGCCTTTGTGTGAGATTGCCTATGGGTGCCTGATTCAGCAGGCAACCTTAAGTATGCTTACTAGGTTGGGCCCTGCAGGTGTGTTAGGTGGAAGAACTCCTGTCTTCCCCAGATTTATGCTGTGGCTTTGGTGTCTGGATGTGCTGAAGTGTGCATGCGCAGAGGCAGGGACATATGGACTTAAGGAACTTTTACTGAAAAAAATTAGGCTCCAGCAATTTTAGGCACTTATAGGGTTTAGCAGCAACTGAGTGGGGGTTTTGTGAGCCCCAATGGGGCCTGATTCTGGGATCCAGGCACCTAAAGTGGCAGTTACACACCTAGCTCCTTTTACATAGCTAGCCCCAAATTTCTTGCACTGGGGCTAGACCTCAGAGGACTCCGGCTGAAGACCCAATTTGGGAAATCTGATTTACTGACTTGAAATGTTTTGGGCATGTCCTTCCTACCTCAGAAAAGGACAAATAAAACTTTTATTTAATCCTCATGAGAGAGAAAGCACTTGTGACTTTTTTTTTTTTTTTAAAAACAGGTACTTAAAATTAACGAACACAACAATTTTGGCTTTTTATCTCTTTGTGCTTTAGTTCCTGATCTGTCACATGGGATTAATATCAGCACCTAATCTGACAAAGGTGTTGTGAAAATAAATACATTAATGCTTCTGAAACACTCAGATGAGTGCCACAAAATGGCACACAAGGAATTAATAATTTTGTATTCAGAGCAGCAGTTGGGTGGTGTGCCATTAGTAAGGCTTGGGGCCACACACGGAATGAGAAGGATAAAAATAAGGGTTCACTGCATGAGGCAGGTGTCCCATGGAAAAAAATAGTATATAATCATGTAATTGAAGACTATCATAATGAATATGCCCAAAGGAGTAGAATTAAGGTTGCAAAGGCAAACTTAATCTTGGCATTTCCTAATTTTTGAGGGCTCAGTTTTGCAATCTTAACATTCTTTTAACACAGTTTTTTTGATCCAATAGAATAATTACTCTGGTGAATCACACAGCCTGCTCTTAAGGTCATTAACTCATTACTAAGTAGAGTTTACACCTCTTCATCAGTTAGCTTCCTCTTTCCTTTGCTTGAATGAGAACTGTGAGGCATTTTCTGTGTCATTCCTTCTGAAGTTCCAAGAGATATAAAGTGCCAAATTCAACTGTCATCTTTGTGGGTTTAAATCCCTGTATTCCACTTTAGTTCAAGACACTTACTGCTTTGTAAACAAGCACATTGTTCTCATTTCACCTGACATCCAGATCTTGTTACCAATAATTAATCTACTCCCTTGTTCAAGAAAGTGGGACCTATACTCCTCCATTCCTAATATTTTCAATGGCAACATATTCATTTCTAAAGACCGCTCAAAACTGCTTCTTGATTTTCAAAATTCTCTGCTGCTTACTCTTTCCCCTCTCCCCCCAACCTAGGCCTCCTTCTGATTCCTGCCTTTGACTCTTCAGAACTGGAATGGTGGTGAGTTTTGTTTGTTTTGTTTTTTAAACCTGTGCTGTTCCATCAGAATTTTCCCTAAGGCTATGTCTACACTACAGGTTATGTTGGCATAACTTATGCCGCTCAGGGGTGTGAATAAACAACCCTGAGTGACATAAGTTACACTGGTATAAATGCCAGTGTGAACAGTGCTATGTCGGTGGGAGAACTTCTCCCACTGACATAGCTACTGCCTCTTGTGGAAATGGTTTTATTATGCTGATGGGAGAGCTCTCTCCTGTTGGCATAGAGTGTCTTCACCTGACGCACTGCAGACACCCCCCCAGTCACTTTTCTTTTTAAACCACACCTGAAAAAATCTTCCTTTTCTTTTTAGTTTATGAAAGGCTCTCTGTAATGTTCTCTGTTAAGGATGAAATTTACAAACTAAATTATATTTTAAATGTTTGCATATAATATGTTGTATAAGAGAAATATACAAAACTGACTCAAAGTTCATTCTAGTTTACTACTTGCTAGTTACGAAAATGGATGTGTCTTTAAAGGGCAAGATAGGAAGTAAGTTTAAACATTTACAAATAATTGAAGTACACAACTAACAAGCAGGGCTGTCCTTTCTGAAAAGGTTAATTTATGTTTTCAGCTAATGCAATATAAAAATAATTGAAAATCATGCAAACAACTAAATCAACTTTATGTGAAGAACCCATGTTTCTCTATGTTAATGAAACAAAGAGCATGCAAAATGCATAAGGGACTCCCTCTCCTTAACTTACTGATGTTTGCACCATCATAGCTCGCTGGTCTCGCATTTTTCGTACAATATCCAGTGGATAAACCGGTTGGTTTCTTTCAATTAAGCACATAGCTGTTTCCATAGTGACCAATACACCAGTGCGGCCTATTCCAGCACTAAAAAATGTAACAGAACCCCCCCAATAAAATTAATAGACTTTTGCCATCCACTGAATACATATCACAGACTAACATTAAAACACTCTACATACCTGTAGGAATAAAATCCACACAGTTTAAAAGTAAGAATAGAACACAATGTATATTTTTAGGACAACATAAGCAACATTTTCTTTATACAACTGCAAGAAAACATTTTAACATAAATAAAAAGAAAATTCTAGAAAAAATAAAACCATAAGTTTAAGAAAATGACTTTAAAATTGTTATAATTTTTAAAAAATGATATATTGTTTTTTAGATTTTATTTAAAATCAACCTTTAGACTGAAAAGTGAAAAGAAGAACTGATTGATTGTTTTTTAGGGCTACACAAAAAAGGACTTTGAGGTTAAATTCATTATATAACTATTAAAAAGTGGGGCTGTAAAGCGATTAAAAAATTAATCATGATTAATCGCATTGTTAATAATGGTATACCATTTATTTAAATATTTTTGGATGTTTTCTACATTTTCAAATATATTGATTTCAATTACAACACAGACTACAAAGTGTACAGTGCTCACTTTATTTTTTATTACAAATATTTGCACTGTAAAAAACAAAAGAAATAGCATTTTTCAATTCACCCAATACAAGTACCGTATCATGAAAGTTGAATGTACAAATGCAGAGTTATGCACAAAAATAACTGTATTCAAAAATAAAACAATGTAAAACTTTAGAGCCTATAAGTCCACTCAGTCCTACTTCTTGTTCAGCCAATTGCTCAGACAAACACATTTGTTTACATTTTCAGGACATAATGCTGCCGGCTTGTTTACAATGTCACCTGAAAATGAGAATAGTCGTTTGCATGGCACTGTTGTAGTCAGTGTCACAAGATATTTATGTGCCAGATTCGCTAAATATTCATCTGTCCCTTCATACTTCAACCGCCATTCCAGAGAACATGCATCCATGCTGATGACGGGTTCTGCTTGATAACGATCCAAAGCACTGCGGACTGACGCATGTTCATTTTCATCATCATGAGTCAGATGCCACAAGCAGAAGGTTGTTTTTCTTTTTTGGTGGTTCTGTAGTTTCTGCATCAGAGCGTTGCTCTTTTAAGACTTCTGAAAGCATGCTCCACATCCCGTCCCAATCAGATTTTGGAAGGCACTTCAGATTTTTAAACCTTGGGTTGAGTGCTGTAGCTATCTTTACAAGTCTCACATTGGTACCTTTTTTGCGTTTTGTTAAATCTGCAGTGAAAGTGTTCTTAAAACGAACAACATGTACTGAGTCATCATCCGAGATTGCTATAACATGAAATATATGGCAGAATGTGGGTAAAACAGAGCAGGAGACATACAATTCTCTCCCCAAGGAGTTCAGTCACAAGTTTAATTAACATGTTTTTTTTTCCAATGAGCATCATCTGGATGGAAGCATGTCCTCTGGAATGGTGGCTGAAGCATGAAGGGGCATACGAATGGTTAGCATACCTGGCATGTAAATACCTTGCAATGCCGGCTACAAAAGTGCCACGCAAACGCCTGTTCCTCACTTTCAGGTGACATTGTAAATAAAAGTGGGCAGCGTTAGCTCCGATAAATGTAAACTAACTTGCTTGTCTTAGTGATTGGCTGAACAAGAAGTAGGTCTGAGTGGATTTGTAGGCTCTAAAGTTTGAAATTGTTTTGTTTTTGAATACAGTTATGTAACAAAAAAAATCTACATTTGTAAATTACACTTTCTTGATAAAGAGATTGCACGATGGTATTTGTATGAGGTGAACTGAAAACTACTATTTCTTTTGTTTATAATTTTTACAGAGCAAATATTTGTAATAGAAAATATTAATAAAAAGTGAGCAGTGTACACTTTGTATTCTGTGTTGTAATTAAAATCAATACATTTGAAAATATAGAAAAACATCCAAAAATATTTAATAAATTTCAATTGGTATTCTATTGTTTAACAGTGCGATCAAAACTGCGATTAATCACGATTAGTTTTTTGAGTTAATCACGTGAGTTAACTGCAATTAATCGACAGCTCTATTAAAAAGTATTAAGTTGCTTATTACATTAAACAACAATTATTGGTGTCAGATGGTCATATAATCGAGCAATTTAACCAGAAAGTTTAATCATGAAGGAGACAATGGAATAGTAAAGAAACCCAACCCCTTAGATACAATACCGTAACTTTTGTCTCCATTGGATGAGTGCTCACTGACTGATAGGCTTATAGCCTTACGATTTCACCTTTATTTCAAGGAATTTGCTGCCCTGCAGGGTGCATACTATTGAATAATGTATAAAATGACACTTCATTTCTACAGGACAGATGGAATACTAAATCTCTAGGACTCCATCCAATGTAACAGAACTTTTATTTAAAGTACCTGCAATGAACAAGGACCGGTTCATTCTCTACTCTCTTTGGCCTCATACAGGTGACAAACTCCAAAAAGTCCCTGGAGTCATCAGGAACACCATGATCAGGCCAAGCAACATACTGGAGATGGGTGATGGTGTGCTCTTCCTCTGTCTGAAATGCAATTGGTAGTGTCACCATATCTCACTCAGTATTGTAATAGCTTTACTAAAGTTCATTGGATAAATGCAATTTGTTTCATAATAAACATACCTAGGCAGCACAAGGCTCCACAGCCTATACAACAGGCTGCAAGATTTTCTAACGAAATGTTTTCTTATTAAAAAACAGTAAAATAAGTGATTCTTGGAGAACAAAGTTTAAAAATAAATGTAGGTGTTTAAGAAGATCATATTTACTATATATAGCTCCTTTGAGCCCAAAATATTTCAAAATGCTTTACCATTTATACTTTGGGAACAGTAATTCCAGCAAAGAAATGCAGCCATCTCTGAAGTAACACATGGCAACAGCTATGTACAGCAATATTACACAATAGTTTAGATTAGAAAGGAGGAAATACCTGCTGAAATTGCAGAAGAAATTTACAGGCAGAATGCAATTACCAGATTTGAAATTTGGTCTGGACTCGGAGGTTAAACACCCCTCCGTCATGCAAAAAATGCCACAGGATCTTTAATGATTAAGTAGCATAGACCTCTGCTTACATTTCATCCAAAAGAAGGTATCTGCAGCAGCATCTGCCAACACCACACTGGGATGTTGGTTTAGTACTGACACCGATGGAACAGTGCCACCTGCAAAATTGTTATCACTATCTACAGCACACTAGGTCTTCCCTCCAAATACTGACCCAGTTCAAGCCTTCTGACCTTGTGAGATTTAATGGGATTACACTACAAAGTAATAGGGCTGCGGACCAGTTCTAAATTTGTTTTCCCCTTCATAGTCATCATACATCTTATACACTACACAAAGGAGAAATGTTAAATAATGTATGTCTATTTGTGGCTTGGTCAGAACACAAGCGCATATATTTGCTATCTATGATTCCTGTTAACAGGACAGATTGTGTACAGTATATACTGATAGGTTAGAGAAATTATGAATGAATTATATTTATACTGCCTGTGGAAGCACTTGATTCTGTGTCATGAAAATGTTAATTAGTTGAGAAATTCTATTGTACAAGTTTCAGAGTAGCAGCCGTGTTAGTCTGTATCCATAAAAAGAAAAGGAGGACTTGTGGCACCTTAGAGACTAACGAATTTATTTGAACATGAGCTTTCATGACCTACAGCTACAGCATCCGATGAAGTGAGCTGTAGCTCACGAAAGCTTATGCTCAAATAAACTTGTTAGTCTCTAAGGTGCCACAAGTCCTCCTTTTCTTTCTATTGTACAAAGGGCTCTTTCATTTAATTAAAACTAAGGAAAGCCATGTACTAGAAACTACTTCATTTTCTTAACTTCCTGTTGATTCTCAACATGCAAAAGCAACTCCTCTTAACACAATCATCTTCACATGCAAATGCGTTCCAGTGACTGACTCATTTTGCTTTATTTGCATACAAACAGCTGTCAACATATGCATGGGGCATGATTTAAAAAACACTAGTTTTATAACAAGTCTTTGGTCCATATTACATTTAACTTTTTAAACTAGGCTGTTTTGCAGTGGCTAGACTGGAAACAATGAGCGGTGATATTCCCCCAAGCTCTAATATATCACCATGCCAAAATGAAATGCCACTCACAGAGACTGTGAAAAATCTTCATAATATGGTCAACCCTCTTTCTTCCATATTTTTAGTAACAGTGAAATAGTTAACTATGCTGACATTTCAGTGTTCATCATTAAGCTCAACATTAACACTCAAATGAGAAGAATGCTGCTCTCATACTCAGGATATCATTGTATGAGTTCATACTCGGGTCACATTTTAAGTTCGCTACGTTTTTTCTGATGGGCTCACACAAGCATCTTTCTACGGTATCAAACATTATGAGCTGAAATTGTAAAAGGACTGTGTGGCTACAATCACCTCAGTTCCTTGAATTGCCTGACTTTGATGCCATAGTTAGCTTGCTCAGTACCTTGACAGGTGCAGATATTAGATCCAGTATCATTTCTAGGGACCAGGCATGTAGAATAGAACCTCTATTGCCGAGCAAAGTGGGCTCAAGACATGAAAGTCCTATACTCTGCGCTGAAGTCCTGGGAATGAGTTTCTTTCAGGCAGAAGAAATGGTATGTATATACATCCCCCGCCAGGAACACGGAATGGTATGAAATATCCTGGCATAAATCCTTGAAGGCAAGGCCTCAACAATGATGATCAAAAGGCCCAGGGACCCAAGTTCCAGAGTAAATCCTAAATGTGCACCAATGTAAACGAACACTAACCAGCTAGCTAACTATAACACACTGGAAACGAGGTGAGTTTGGGATCAACTCCCCAGAAATCACTTTAGGAGCTGAGAGAAAAGGTCTTTATATCGACAGCTTGACTTGGGATGTCAGAAAGGAACTGGGACAGATGGACAAGCATGGTCCTTTTATAGCCTCAGCTCTGAATTGTTTGTTGCCACAAGGTGCAGCTAAGTTGGTCTCTTGATCACTGCTTTCTAGAATGCTGCCAAAACTCTGCAAAGCCAGTCAAATCCCATAAGGGGGAGTATGCAGAAGCCACCCCAAGGAAAAAAGCCCACACACGTTATAATAGTTTTCTTCTGAAAACTTAGGGGAGTTCACCCTCAGTGCCTCAAAGAGATGAGGTGGAACAGCGATTACATATATTATGGATAGAACAGTTTTGTTCTCATTAACTGGAGAAGCTAGAGTGCATTTGAATCATAGCACTCAGGCTAGATGAAACTTTGACTCATTCTAAAACAAGCCAGGGAGTCTGTGGTGTGATCTTAGGTGTTCAATAAAGATTCCAGGCTGAATCATATGTGTGAGTGCTGAAGGGACACATTATTGAGGCACCTGGAGACAGCTAAACAAAATTCAATAGCATTTTGAGTGGTTTTTTAGATTTAAATAATGAACGTATTACTCATCACAAATTAAGGCTTGAATGTGCTAGGAGCTGCATTTTTAATAGCTCATAGACATCAAGTACAATGAGCAAGCACATTACATAAGATCTCTCTAGAATAAGAGCACACTAGTCCATCAAGACTACTTCTGTTGTTGCAAGTGTTGGATCATATTAAAGAAGTTCTGTATTAAAATCACAAATGAGTTTGATTCCCCAGAGTTTAAATTCCAGGGTATTACTAATTAAGAGGTCTCTTGGTTTTTGGTACTGTTTCTCTCCCTCTATGTGTGAAACTTGCAAGCTGCTAATTGTGTTAGTACATTCTGAGACAAAGTCTGTTCTCAAAGCAATTCACACAGAGATAGACTCAAAGCAATACTCTGTAACAACAGAAATAGCACCCAGAGACTCCCCACCCTTTTGTTGTATTAACAATTGTGATTAAAATAGAGATAGAGGATGTATGTAGATGGATGCTTGGTGTGGATAATAACTGAATGATCAGGGAGGTGCCAGCCTAAGAATGCAGTGTCCATCGGCTAAAGAAGGCGTCAAGTGGAAATAACCAGAGGACCCCCGGAGGGCAGACTGGAATCCACTCAACAGCCTCAAGAATGGGAGAACCAAAGAACAAGATAACATCTAGCAGCACGGAGCCATCAGGAATGTGCTATCTGCTGATTGATTCAGCAACAGCATGATGAAGCAATTCCCACAGACTGGCATAGGAAGAAATTCCTATAAAAATGGACTCTAGAAAGTGAGAACTTTGGGGTCTGATTCTGCAAACCAACTTCCAGGAGCATCAGATGTGCATCTGACAAAGCCCTGCTCCCTCCTCATGTCCAGGCCACCTGGCCAGTGGCTTGGCATGAGCACCTCTGAGGCTGGTAACTATGATAACAACCTTGCAGAACCTGTGTGTGTGTGTGAATGAATGTGTGAATAAATATGAAATTGAATGGAATGTTATAGCTATAACTAACTGCTTACTATGATTCTTTCTGTATTCACAATAAATGTGGTATTTTGCCTTTTCCCCTTTAATAAGATCCTGCTGGTTTTTATTTTATTGGTGTAACACAAGCATCTTCAGTTTTCTGTTCTTTGCTCTATTCTTTCCTAAGGACCAATGTACTCCTTTGTTAAATATCCCAGTGTTCCTCAAACTTCATTCTCTTAGTTACCCTTTTTTATCCTCCTTTTCAAACAGTTGTGACTTTTTCTGATGTGCTCTCCTAAGATTTTGATTCAAATTTTTAATGTTTTATCACAATAAATATTCACTTTTTAGAATGCCCCCATTTACACGTCTCCCTTCCTGTCAATAAGTCCAAACTCTACTATGCTTAATCTATTTTCCTATCTTAAAGCTCAGAATAAATTTCATCCCTGTATGCCCAATACCACTTACTTTGGTTGCAGTAGCCTATTACTCCATTTAAACTCTCACAAATTGATTGTATTACTTATCTGGCTTTGGGTTTTTCCAAAAGTTGACATGGGAGCAATACATACCACTGGTAGTCAGAGGTAACTGAGCTATGTGCATGTGTGTGCATGAAGGCAGGAACACAGCAAACCCCTCTCATAGAGAAGCAAATATGGTTGTGTGCCTGTGCTTCCAACACCTTTTCAAAGCAATAAGGAGGGGGCAGGAGGAACACAATAAATTCTACACTCTGCAAAGCAATTGGAGCGGTGCAGTTACTTTGGGGAGAAGTAGTCAGATATGTAGCTTGAGGGGCTAGAGATTTAAGATTTTTCTATTTTAATTTGCAAGGTATGATTTCTGGCACTTGAACTTTAATTAAAAAAGCTGGTCAGTATGTGGTGGATTCAGAACTTTGAGAGAGGATGTAAAGATGTCAGAGAGAAAAACGCACTGCAGCTTAAAATTAGAGGTGGACAGGAAACAAGCCCCTCTGTATAAACAAACTCACACTTTCAAGAAGCTTGGATGTGATCTGAATATGAATTTTGCAGTACAAATTCATCTGTGGAAGTGTTTCATGCATTTGACTCTTCCCCTCTTTTCTCCCCTTTCATTACAACAAAATAGCAGCAGCCAAAGGGTACAAAAACCTTGCATAAATTGCAAGTGTTCAAACTGTGCACTCTATGAAGCTGCCTTTTCAGTTTAACAAAACTAATGGAAGAAGATTCACATGATTCTGCAAGGTCCCTCAGTACTACATTACAAGGATTCACCTTTTTCTGCTAATTGCTCTATGGGTGTGTGGCACTGAAGAATTGTCCCAGCCTCTGCTTTTGAATGAGCAAAAATATTATGAAGAAAAAAACCCATATTTTAGCCCTAAATGTTTGTTTAGAGTCGGGGGCTGTTGAGCAGCATGGCTGAGTATAATATTGTATAAATACACAATAACTTAATAATAGAATAAGGCTTTATAATTAGTTACTTTTTTAGACTTTTTTTTTTTTTAAGTAACTCACTAGAAGGATCTTCAGAATTGCACAGTTTTGGGGCATCCCTAAAGAAAATTAATCAAAGTGCACTGGTTCATGTAATACCTATAATATATATACAAGCTGACAATACTTAGCTATATTTTTCACTACAGCAAAACCAAAACAAAGCAACCCCCCTGCCCCAAAAGCTAAAGGCCACACTACAGAAAAGCACTCACCTCAGTATTTGTAATCACCATTTCCCTAAAAACATAGGCAATAGTACAATCTTCAGATTGACATTTGACACGAAAGTTTCCATACTCCATTATATCTGGTGGATCAGGCCAATACTGATGACATTTGGTCTGCAAAGAAAAAAGAAAGTACAAGCCATGAGCTTACAATTAATACATTTTCTCATTTGAACAGGGCATCTATGTGACCCAACTCTCTCTTCCTATGTCAACATTCAGAGAGCTCAGTAATGTTATTTATAACTGTTCTGGTTTGTTTTGTGTAATGTGTGCACCTGTACTTGAGAACAGCTTGACATGTCGGGCCTGATTCTCCACAGCCTTGTGTTGTCATTTACACCTGTGCAAAGTGCATACTGAATGCCAAAGTTGTGATCCTCACATTCACTTTACACAGGGGTCAATGAATGACTACAGCGTACGAGCAGGTGAAAAATTAGGTCCATCACATCTAATGGCATTATTGAACACTTTTAATCCTCAGTGCCTGCTTTCTGAGATTTAAAACCCGCCACGACCACTGAGCAATCACATTTTTGCTGCTCAGGGGATAATAGCAGAGTTTCTGTAAAAATACAACCCAAGTTTTTGTTGGGTCAGTGAAATTCTTGTTTTACAAAATGTGGTCTGAGCTAACAGATATTTTTAAGTGCTATTTTCTTTTTTTGAAATCTCACAGTAACATATAGTAATTTTTTTTTCAAGTGAACATTTTGAAACTATCAATTTAATATTACAAATCATGGGTGTACACGGATACAAAAATGGAGACTGGCCTTAAAGACTGGATCAAAATGTCAAACCTCAGTGTTGTTCCCACATAAATTTGAGAATATATATCCATGGGTCAAAATAACTAATTACAAGGAGTTTTTTTTTTACTTTAATAATGTGCCATTTTGACCTTTGCATATAGTTTTGCAAGTCTGAGGAGGCATTAAGGTTGAGTGGGCAGTATAAATTAGCGGGATTGCAGTGGGGATTGGCAAGTGGAAGAAATGCTACATTAGTGAACTCGGATAACAGTTTCTTTGTTTTGGCGAGCAAAAGCACTGCAACTCATTTTAATGAGCTGAAAGTGCTTTTGCCAGGAGTAAGCTGGAACAAGTAATTTAATGTGTGATTTACACTGGAGGGGAAGTTTTCAAAGAGGATACTGATTTTTCATTTGTATGACAAATATCAAGATATTTACTTTTAGTCATGTTATCCTTTTCCAGATGGTAGGGATGGGGAGTGGAGAGAAACAACATGTATTTGGTCACTATCAAAACTAATTACATCAAAATGTATGTCAGAGGTCAAACAGATTGGAAGGGTTAGAAGTATCAGAAATGAAAGTCTTCAAACATGAGGGATGTTTTTTCAAGAATGTAAAGTACAGATTCTAGAACCGTAATGTCAAATCTTTTCAGCCTGAGGACCAAGCATATTTCAGTAACATCAAGGGGCCACATTCAATACACTGGGGCAGATTCTCTGCCCTGGTCTGCTCCCTTTGTGTCACTGAGACTTTGCAGAGGGAGTGAAAAACACCTTCAAATCGCTTGCTGGCAATTCTCCCATTATGCCTGGGTTTCCAGCAACCGTAGGCTACACCTTTACGATCAAAAAAGGTGTGACGGGTATTTTTCTGTTTTTGAAGTGATAACTGGGACTTGTATAGATACGAGGCTGCTTTATCTCCTGAGAGTCCTTCATAGCCAGATGGTGGCAAAAGTTAGGACAGGGCAGCAAGGTGAACTGACTGACCCTATTATCCATCACAAAATGTGGCTCAGGGTTGCTTATGGGCCCTTTCCATTTTTGGTTTTCAGATTAAGAGGTGGTGATGGCTTTAGTGCAGTATTTCTCTCCCAAAAATTTCAACTGATTTTTGTTGGTCCTGCTCTAGGCAGATGTCCTAAGCTCCCCTGGGCTTGAAGCACATGTTAAAGGACTTTAGCTCTTTTTGCCAGGGGGAGTAACTTACCATAGACTATCAGAAAACTAAAGTATTTGTCTTCGGCCATAGACCAAGGTTGCATAAATGGATGCTTGATAGCCATTATATTGCATAGTCCAGGTTTCACCCCCATTTGGTTGTTTGGTTTACATATAACGGCCAATGGGACAGACTATAGAGGAGATCAAGAAGAAATCCCTAAGTTCTATACAAGCAGTGCTGCACTTCATTCGCGTCCATGGGGGCAGTCTAATCACTTCGGCAGTTAGAGTTCTCAAGGCTAAAGTCTGTGCCCAAATACTACATGGTGCAAAAACGTGGGGCTGGGAGAATACTAGTGAGTTAGAGGTTGTGTCAAATACATTTTTAAGGAGAATGTTCAGCCTCTCAAATTACACCTGACTTGCTTTACTCAGGGCAGAAATAGGGGAATGTATTATTTTGACCGAAGCCAATGCCTTTATACTAATTATTGGCTCAGTATTTTGCACATGAATCAACAGTGCCTTCCAATATTATATCTGGAAGAACAGCTCAACAAGATACATAGTCAACAAGTTCACCATTCCCTCCATTCTTTGGGCTTTTTGGAACTTGACTTGGTTAGGACTGTAGGAAGAAGGGTGAAAACCTTAATGAAGCTCAGAGCAAATTATAGCTGTAATCCCTGAAGGTAGCATACAATAAATATGCCTTCTTGCCTTTCTCAATTAACGAATATCCACAGATATGAGAAATATTTGGATATTTTGAACTGTACATTAAGGATGGCCTGTTGTAATATTGGGACTTACAAATTTACCATAATTGAGAGCTCAACTGTGAAAAGTGAAAGTTTCTAAAATGTCACAATAACCTATAATGACAAATGTTAATGGGAAAAACTGCAAAAAAAGAGACCACAAGACTAAATATGTCCAAACATAAAGGCCTCCTGATATAACTCAAGGACTGCATTAAAATCATGTTTGGTAAACAAGGAAAGTGTGGAACTGGAAACCAGTGACCCAAAATTGGAGTGCCAAATTAGGACTAACTGGTAGAAAAAATAATGAGGGGATGGGCTATTCCACCGCTCATTCTGTTCTGGGGATCTCAAAGACAGACTTTGGAAAACAAAGCGGATATTGGAGTGAACTTCACCAACATAGCTGCCACCCCTGCCATCTCCTGGAACCAGGGCAGTCCCTAGAAGGGTGCAGGGCCTGTGACATATGTGCCAAGTTTCTAATGTGCTGGTAGATGCTCACCCCTTTCCTGCTTCTTCCCACCCCTGCTCTACCCCACCCATTTCTGCCCCCCCACACCCCGAGCGTGCTGCGGCCTCGCTCCTCTCCCCTCCCCCTCTTCTGATGCCACAAAACATATGATCCGAGGCAGGCACTGAAAGGGAGGGGAAGGTGCTGATTGGCGGGGCCCGCTGTCGGGCAGGACCGGGAGGTTTTGGTAGGGGGGCTCCTCCTCCCCACCCATCTACCCCTCTCAGTTCGCCTCCTCACTCTGCTCGCCCATCCGCCTCCTGCCTCACCCCCCTCCCTGCTTCCTCACAATTCTATTGAAGCGTAGGGCCCGGAGTGGATGCCCCAATTTGCTGTACCCAAGGAACGGCTCTGCCTGGGGCCTTCGTTATCCTGATACTGAGACATTTCCTGATCAGACGGGGCCAAAGAGAGAAACCAAAATCACATCACCACCTCCATCAGCTCCAGCTAAATCCCAAATACCACCCTCTTGTCCCCAATGTGTCCTTTTTCTTCCCAACCTTATTTCTTTTCTTTCCCATCTCTCTCCTTCTTCCTTTTGTCTAATAAGAGCCTTTCTTAGCCAGTCAAAAATTTGCAACACTGTTGTAATCCTGTGACCAGAAAGAGGCAGCTAAAAAGCAATGCCCTAACAGCCTGATGCTGGTTCAAGTTTGCCATGTCCGAGTGGCTGACAGGACCATATGCTGAGCTGGTGTATTTTCAGTAGCGGGGTTGCAAGAAATAGTCAACTCCATATAGAAAAGCTGCATTTTCTATCTTTACTGTTCTTTTTCCTCCCCCTCTTATGTGCGTTTGCTTGTCTTTTAGGAAAGGGAATTGGACTATAACACCACCTCCAGCTTGTCTCAACTAATTTCTTCTCTTTTCCCCAAAATGATGGTATTAAGGATGGTAATAACTATTTGAAAGACTGTCAAATAAGGGTTTCCCCCCCCTTATTTCCCATAGTACTAAGCAGACTGAGGTCTCTGGATACCAAACCCTGAACCTTGTTTAAAACTGCTTAATATTGGATAGCGGCTGGGTTACCTTTCACCCTTTGGGCCCATTTATTCCATCTAAATTAACACAACAAGCCTTTACAGGTCTCTGTTTCCAGACTATGCAGATGACCTATTTGGAAGGGAGGCATGCTGCTACTGAGTCTTTTCTCCATGTAGGTCTGGCTAGGCTGAAGACTTGCTGCACTCCTTATTGTCTTGTAACCTGCTCTGCCACAAGAGAAAGAAATGGTTATCTCCATTCCTGGCCAAGATAACTTTTACCACATCACCTCAGAAATTGGAATACTTGCTACGCAGTGAAAATGTTTTAGTTACAGGCTGCTGCCCTATTTGCCTGGTCGGCTGGAAAAGTAAGAAAAAAAGTATGTGAAAAACAATCTACTTTTGACCTAAACGAAACAGTGTACTCCTAATTTTTTAAAATCTTATTTTTGTATATTGTTTCAGGGGAGGTGATTTTAAAGTTGTAACTGATGTTAGGGAATAGTTAATCTTGTCTTTTTAAAATGTTCATTTTTTTTGAGTCATGTTGATTTTAAATCTGTGTCTATTGTACTATGTGCAATCGCCTATGGTTAAGATGCTATATTAATAAACTTCATTTGAGAGATGTAATTAATGCTCATTAGCTATCTCACTGTAAAATCCCACTGGAGAAAAGGCACAGGTTATTTCTACTGCAATGTAGCTAGATGAGGTCATCACTATAAACCCAACCACAGTATGCCATGGTAAAAAATACCTGCACCTATCTTCACTAGGATTTGACAGTGAGGATCTGAAAGTTAACAAGTCTTAGTTATCTTCCTTTTTGGGGTAGAGAAGACCCGGCCAATGAGTCAGCATTGTCAGGTTTTGTGTGTTCTCCACAGATTCTAGCACAGGGAATGTGTCAGG